CACCTGTAGAAGAATGAAACTAAACCCCCATCTTTCACCTTACACAAAAGTCAACTCCAAATGGATCAAACACCTCAACGTGAAGCCCGAAACTCTGAAACTGTTAGAAGAAAACACTGGGAAAAACCTACAAGATATAGGTGTAGGAAAGGATTTTCTAAACTAGATATCAATTGCTCAGGAAATAAGGTCAAGAATCAACAAATGGAACCTCATTAAACTAAAAAGCTTCTGTACTTTAAAAGAAGCAGCCAAGGAAGTGAAGAGAAAACCCTCAGAGTGCAAGAAAATCTTCACCAGTGGTACATGTGACAGAGGTTTAACATCCAGAATATATAAAGAACTTAAAAAACAGAATCAAGAAAGCAAGTAACCCAATTAAAAGATGGGCTAAGGAGCTGAACAGAGAGTTCTCAAAGGAAGAAATAAAAATACCTAAGAAGTATCTTAAAAGGTGTTCAAAATCATCCAAATTAAAACCCCTTTAAGATTCCATCTTAACCCCAGTCACACTGGCAAAGATCAAGAGAACAAATAATACCAAATGCTGGAGAGGATGTGGGGGAAGGGAACACTCATCCACTGCTGGTGGGGCTGCAAACTTGTTCAACCCCTATGGAAAGCAGTGTGGAGAACTCTTAAAAAACTACAGATGAACCTACCATTTGACCCAGTTATACCATTCCTTGGCATATAACCAAAGAACTCATCCTACTGCAGAGACACTTGTGCATCCATATTTGTTGCTGCTTTTTTTTCACAATAACTAAGAGATGGAAGCAACCTAAGTGTCCTTCAACTTACAAGTGGATAATGAAAATGTGGTCCCTTTATATGATGGAGTTCTACTCAGCAGTAAAGAAAGATGAAATAATGAAATGTGCAGGTAAATGGATAGAACTAGAAACGTTTCTATTAAGTGAAGTAACACAGACTCAGAAAAACAAATGACGTATATTCTCCCTCATATGTGGATCCTAGCACCAAGTCCTTACAAGTGAGTATGTATCCACACATAGCTACAGGAACCAGGCAGGTAAAGGAATAGAAAGAACCTGAGAGAGAACAGTAGGAAACAGGTGTTAATAATGGAGATATGGATAAAAATGGGGTTGTTTAAATGGGAGGGGTTGAGGGAGGTTTATACAAGGAAACTTGGGGATAAAGGGAAAGAAGGAGCTCAAGAGAGGTGGGACCATAGGTGATTGGTATTATCAAGGGAGAAATGAGGAAAATGGGGGCACTTTAACTGGGGAAACCATGGTGGAAGGATTAGACAGTGAGAGAGATGAATAATGCTTAGCTAGTTTAAAAAAACATAGGGAACCATATTAGTCCAACAACCTATTGACAAATTATACAATATATAAGTCCATGTGTATAGCTAAAGGCCACATAACAAGAAACTGTGCCAGACAGGAGATATTTTCCTTTGAGTTGTTGGCCAGGATGGTCCAAGAGACTCCCAAAATTACTCAGGCTATTGCCACAGCCCTTGATGGCCTCCCAGAACTCGAAGGTAAGACCCTACTGCAGGAGACAGAGCATATGTCAGACACAGGATTTGGAGAAATAGAGCTGCGACTGACCTGCAACCACTCCCTTGAAGGCAGCTCTCATAGCTTTGGAGAGCACTATGAAGGTGCCAAGGGAAAACATCAATCAGTGGTCCAGCACCAGCTTCAAGACCAAATAACCACATCGGTGGTCAGCACAGCATACGTCATTGGTGCAGTAGTGACACTCTTACCTTGGGGGCAATCAGCAGCTACCAAATTGGACTAAATGCCCAACCAAAGGGAGGGAATGCAAGTGTGGAAATGTAAACATAACGTAATACACATGACTGGGGTGACCATAGATCTTAGAGAAAACCCATATCTGTTGCATGGCTAGACTAATGTGATTTCTTACTATGTGCAAAATATGTATCCATATATTTACAGACAAATATCCCAGTCACCACTCATCAAAGAAGCTCATTTTGCACCAATCAGTGACTATTACCGAGTACCATGGCTGGTCAGACATGAACAATGTCTATGAACTGCCCAGGCCTAAGTGATACATCTACAATGCAACCTCTACACCTAAGGCTCATGGAACACAGAACAGGGATAAAGGAGAGGACACTAATGAGTCTCTCTGTTCTTAGTAATGAAGCTCCTCATGCAGCGGAGAGCCAGGAACAGAAAATCTCACAAACGGTCAAAGTGTAGAGATCAAGAGTCTGCTGAATGATGGTCCTTGGACAGAATCCCTTTATTAAACTTTACGCACCCAACCAAGGTCAGGGACCATTGGGGAAGAGGGAGCGGAGAGATTGTAAGAGCCAGGGAGGAGGTGCATGACCATATGGAAACAGAGTCCTACAAGCTCCTGGGAACCTGCTCATATGATTCTGTGGCACTGGTGTCAGCATACACAAGTCCCATGCAAACTCAGGCAGACAATAACCCAGCATAGAACTGGGAAAATGAACAGCAAACCTCAATCTTATCTGAAGGAATGTTGGCAACTGATTGCTGCTAGGTGAAGAAGAGCTGATCTTCCTGAAACAAGGACTCTAGATAGCCTGACTAGACTTGGTTAAATGGATTTGCCCTGGGGATTGGCTGGGGACACCGACAACTCAGTGGGCCTTAACAGGGATGATAGAGTATATGGCCTCCAGTGTGTGGCGAGGGCCATGGGAGGGTGTCAGTGGGGCTGGGGATATAAAGATGATTAAAATTTAGATGTTCTGTATGAAATACACAAA